TGAGACAGCAATTGAAACCAGGTGTGGTGGCGCGCGCCTGTAATCCCAGCTCTTGGGAGGCTGTTAACAGGAGAATTACTATGAGTCTGATCTAGGAGTGAGACCCTGAACACCCTGTAGACCCTTCCCTAAAATATAGAAAAAAACATTTTGTTTTGGAAGACACAAATCAGTATCTATTACAAAGCTTTATGCCCCCAGTTAGAAAGTACAGTGGTCCCTGACTTATCTCAGAGGTTATGTTATAGACACTTCCATGATAACTGAAAATAAGTGAAGTAGTGACATATTTATTTTAATATTTACATATATTTAAAGGCTTTATAAACCCTTCCCATGCTCTTATAAATCTTTCTCACATTTTAAAAATATTTTCTAATGTTAACCATTTCTAAACCCACAAGCCTCCATAATTTTAACAGCATACATATACTGTACAGTACTGCAAAATCACATGATATAGTGAAAAGCCCACAATAAATAATTCAGATTAATACCTTTTTTTTTTTTTGCGGAACCGGGGATTGAACTCAGGCCACTCTGCTTGCCAGGCAAGTGCTTATTCCACTGAGCCAGCTCCCCAGCCCCCAGATTAATATCTTTTGAGAACCCATGAAACAGTGAGTGTGTGAGAGTCAGCCATGAAGCAGTGAGGGACTACTGTCGTACAAAGTGCACTGAGCTACACACATGTGAGTTTTGCACTTGTCTCACCTCGTGCTGATAGAGGACTGGATCACTATCACACATTCGTGAACTTCAAGAGCACTGAGGTACAGTCTAAGACAAACAAACTTACTTTGGGTAAGACGTAGCCTCTGAATTTAACATCACGAGTCACTGCGTGGGACAAGTTGTTAGGGACGAGGTCAATGTATCTCTGGACCTCGTGCACCACGGCGTCGGTGTAGGGCATGTGGCTCCTATCCTGCATGCACGGGGTCCGCTCTCTGCCAATCACACGCTCAATCTCTTCCTGGACTTTAGCTGGTAAAACATGTTCATGACACGATGAGAAAGGGGGAAAGTGGCCCATTTGTTGTAACAACGCAGGACTGTAAACCATAAGGAAAGTGTCCAAACAGCAGCTTAATTATTTTAGATACCATAAAATTACTTTAAATGTAAATAGATTCAATTCTTCACTTAAAAGACATAGAGTGACTGATTATACCAAAAAGTATGGTCCATCTATAAGCTACTTATAAGATACTAACTTCACCTCTAAGTATATACATAGAATGCAAGTGGAAAGATAGAATAAGATAGAATATTCCATGTAAATAAAATGCAAAAAAATGAAGCAGTAGTACTGATAGCTAATTAATAAAGTGGCTTTAATTTTTTTTTTTTTCCGGTACCAAGGATTGAACTCAGGACCTTAGGCTTGACAGGCAAGTGCTTATTCTATTGCGCTATCTCCCCAGTCCCTAAAATGGGTTTTAAGAACAGCACAGAGAAACAAGGAGAGTTAGTATGCAATGACAAAAGGGTCAATTCAATAAAAGGAAGTAACTATTCTAAATATTATATTCATCCACTACTAAAGCACCCAAATACATAGAGCAAATAGTATAGGACAGACACAAAATAATCCAATAATATTAGAGGACCGCATGTTAAGCAATGGACAAATCGTTCAGGCAGAACGTCAACCAAGAAACAGCAGTTAAATTGCACCCTAGACCAAATGGGCCTAAGAGACATCTACAGGACACTCCATCCCACACCTTCAACACACATATTCTTCTCATGAGCACATGGAATATTAACCAACATAGGTCAAATGAGAGGCCACAAAATTAGTTTCAACAAATTTGAAAAGTAAAACTATGAAGAAAAAAAAGTAAAACTGTGGGCTGAGACCACAACTAAGTAATAGAATACTCACATGGATACAACCCCAGCAGTGTAAAACAAAAAGAAAGAAAAAAGAAAAATTGAAATTATACTATCCATTCAAATAATAATGAAATAAAGTTAGAAATTAATAAAAACTCTGAAACTATACAAAAATGTGGAAATTAAGCAACTTTTATTTAGCCAGGCTCTCACTTTGTAGTTCAGACTGGCTCAAACTCATGGTGATGCTCTTGTCTCAGCTTAGCAAATACTGGGATTCTGTAATCTGCATACAGCACAATGCCCAGCAATAACTTACTCTTGAACAACAAATGGGTCAAAAGTGAAATCAAGGAAATTGAAAATTTCTCCAAATCAATGGAGATGCAACACAATACATATATATGAGAGAAAGAGAGAGAGAGACAGAGAGAGAAACTTATAGCAACCAATACCTACTTCAGAAAAATCAAGCCTGGCATGGTGGTGCACATCTGTGATCCCAGTACTCAGGAGGCTGCAACAGGAGGATTGCTGCAAGTTTGAGGCCAGCCTGGGCTACTTATAAAGTTCAAGAGAAGCCTGAACTGCCTAGTTGAGATCTCATCTCCAAAAAACATATAGATACAGATAGATATAGATATAGATATAGATATAAAGTATTTTTTAAACAACAGAATAATTAGTGATACTTGAACTTGACTAAACTATCTACCTTCTGCTTTATTCTTTATGTAGAGGACTACCTGGGTGACTCTCCTTGAAGGAGGAGCAGTTGTCTCCATTTTGGCTGAACCTGACCCTATTTCCATGATATGTACAGAGCTGGCTAGAATTTTTTCTTAGCCCTTCAAATGGCTTTAAGAGTGCATGTTGGCCCAGCTGAGGTGCTGATGTGTACCCTCTGAAGCAAAGTGTTTTCCTGGGCCCATATGTGAGCCGGGGCAAGGTGGGATGGAGAGTTGAGCTCCATGCTGTGAACTGGAATTGAGCCTCAAGATAAGAGGCTATGACTTCCCAGGGCATAAAAGACTACACAGCAAAGCTGAAGCACAGACCCCAAAACATTAGATACTATCTCACTGGTATTATGCAAATTACTCTTTCTGCACGTTCTTCCCTCTGCACATTTCAGAGGCCTTCTGCCTGGCCCAGCACACACACTCGCCTACTTCTTGCCACTCTCACAGTCACTCATCCTCAAGCCACTTCTCCTTCATGCATGAGTAAAACCCGAGTCTGGGCCTGGGTTGAGGCCTTTGCTCTGGATAGCCATCACTGTAAGCAGACTTAGAGCCCCCTGGCTCCCCATGACTACAAGTATGCCTTAGTTTCCTTATTTTCACCATGGGTTGGTTGCACTGGAAGTGGTAGACTGGAATTAACTCACTGGAATTCCAATAACTTTTGAACGAGATTACAGATATAAACTTCCTGGCCTGAGACCAGTACTGTGAAGGGCTCTCTATACTTTATTTGTAAATATATA